GGGCCACATGTCAGGACCTGCTGGAGGATTCAGGGGCCACATGTCAGGACCTGCTGGAGGATTCAGGGGTCACATGTCAGGACCTGTTCAGAGTTTATGTCCACAGGACAGAGTTCTGAGTGGGGGGAATGCACACAGCAGCTGTCACCAGAGGACAGCAGGGGGCTAACAGGGGGTTAACAGGGGGCTAACAGGCTAACAGTGGGCTAACAGGGGGCTAACAGGGGGCTAACAGGCTAACAGGTGGACAGCACTGGGACAGTAGAGGGGAAGGGGGAAGTAGGTTGAAGTTTAACAATTTGAAGTATAAACCAGTCTTCGGTACGCAGCTCCAGTGTTTGATGTTGGATAAATAAACATTTTGTTTCTTTGTTTTTAAAAGTGTTCTGTACAAAACTGTCAATTAAAAGATTTTCAAAGAAAGACATGTTGGGGGTCTGGAACCAGATCCAGAACCACATCAATGAAGGCTGAATCATGTCAAACCATGAACCAACCCCCCACATGTGACTCATCTCAGCTGATTGGAAACTGGACTTTCAGAGGGATGACTGGGTCAACCAGGACCTGGTCCATCTTGGGATGACTTGACCCAGAACCTGAACCCTGGTCTGCTTCTTTCTGGGCCTCAGCAGCTGCTGTAAAACTCAGAGATCTGGAGTATTTTCTAACCTGAGACATTTACTGCAGCTTGTAAAGCCTRCAGTGTTTTATGATTCTGAACCGATTTATTCTTCGTCTGTTTCGCTCCTCGTGAAGTCTYATTAAAAACTTAGAACCAGCGGAGTTCTTAGAAAAATGTAATGTTTGTATACAGACAGGGTTAAACCTAACGCTGACTCTGCTACTGAAGAGACAAACTCTCAGGTCCTTTAAGTGAAACCAGATGGAAGTTTGAAACTTTTTCCCTGAATAATTATAAACTAACAGCAGATGTTCCACCCTGACTGAAAAAGATGAAATGATTTAACCTCTAAGTGACAGAATGTAGAGGAGCAGAAACATCTGCAGAATTTAAAGACTGAGCTTCTAAACTACAACAAATAACAAAATAATCCACGTTTTCTTCTGTGTTTAGTTACAGAAAGGAGTTATTCCTGAGACTTTCAGAGACTCGAGCTGTCCTGGTCTCACATGAGGACAGGATCTGCAGACATTTGAACGAAATATTTGTGAGCAGAGAGCTCAGACTAACACAACAAACACCTGTTTGGTTCTCAGATACTTACATTTCCTTTGTCTGCAGTTCAGATACAGACAGTTGCTTCTGATCCATCTTTTGGAAACAGTTAAAAATTTTCAAGTTAAACTGGACCTAGTTAGAAAAATACCAAAACAAGAATCCTGAAGGTTTGTAATAACCAGCAGACAGCTGGTGAACCAGTCTGAATCACTTCAGAACTGACCTATTCCTCCTTCACAGATTGGCACATAGACMTATGAGCTGTACTGCCAAGGTTGGGTTATTACAGACCAACATAAAAATGTATGACAGAGGACAGATTGTAAGACTGAAACTAACAACAGCCAGGCTTGGGTTTGTTGAGGCTCCAGACATCAGAATAGATGTTTCAAATCATAGAAATCCTTCAAATGAAGCCTTTTATCTGCAGCCAGTGTATTTCCTTCATACTGAAGGTTAAAACTATCCRATGATGCTCATCCTGTGACACAGACCATAAAAAAGTAAAGTTAAAGCAGGTGAAGCTCCATGTTTCTGCCTGTAAAAGTGTTTACACAGACCCCCAATCCAACAGTGACTCATGGAATTTGAATTCAGTCAGATGGTGAACAGATGACAGAACAGAAACAGAAAACACAAAAATCTGTGAGGAGGGAGTCTGGTTAAACCTAACCCTAACCCTCTGTTGATTCATTGGGATGAACATCAACCACAGATAGGTAACATCAACCAACATTAACTAGCATAAACTAATACCAATAAACATCACTCAACCAACAATAACAGCATCATCATACATCAACTAACATCAACCAACATCAACCAAACCAACATCAACCAAGATTAACTAGCATAAACTAATACCAATCAACATCCATCAAACAACAATAACAGCATCATCATACATCAACTAACATCAACCAACATCAACCAATATTCTCCATCATCAACGAAACCAACCAACATCAACCAATATTCTCCATCATCAACCAAACAACCAACATCAACCAATATTCTCCATCATCAACCAAACCAACCAACATTAACTAGCATAAACTAATACCAATCAACATCCATCAACAAACAATAACAGCATCATCATACTCATACATCAACTAACATCAACCAACATCAACCAATATTCTCCATCATCAACCAAACCAACCAACATTAACTAGCATAAACTAATAACAATCAACATCAACCAAAATCAACCAAACCAACCAACATAAACCAACATTAACTAACATAAACTAATACCATTCAACATCCATCAAACAACAATAACAGCATCATCATACAGCAACCAACATTAACCAATATTCTCCATCATCAACCAAACCAACCAACATAAACCAACATTAACTAACATAAACTAATACCATTCAACATCNTACAGCAACCAACATTAACCAATATTCTCCATCATCAACCAAACCAACCAACATAAACCAACATTAACTAACATAAACTAATACCATTCAACATCAATCAACCAACAATAACAGCATCATCATACATCAACTAACATCAACCAAAACAACCATCATCCACCATCAACCAACATTATCCATCATCAAACAAACCAACCACATGGACAAACAGGTTAGTCACATGCAAATGGGGATGTTGAACCCCGCTTGCACTCACTACATACACATAACAAAACACCAAATAACCACAGCTGAAGCATCCAAACCAATAAGTCAGGTGATGGGACACATGGCCCTCTATGAACAACAGAGCTAATCAAGCCTATTGTTAAACGATGGCCCTCTTTTGCATGTGACTAACCTGTTTGTCCATGTGGAGGCGGAGCTTATAAGGCTGAGTTCACCTGAAACTCATCAGACTGAAGAAGTCTCTTGGAGGAGAGACGAAACATTTCACTAAAGAAGAACCATCCAGAGGACCTACTGATTTTTTATTTTTTATTTTAAAGATGTGGTTGAACAAATAAAAAAGTGATTTTCTCTTGGATTTGAATGAAAAGAACTCAGTTTCAAAGTCAGACAGTCCAATCTAAAAGTGCGTATCAGACTGTACAGGCCTCAGTTAACAGGTCAAAGGTCATGGTTTGTTTGTAAAGGCTGCTGGAGAAAACCATTGTCTCTGAACACAAACACAAAGTTTCATTTAAGAGAAATACAAAATATTTGGAACACAAACCCACAAGTTTGGTGAAAAACAAAGAAATTAAAGAAACTGAAAAGCCAACAGACCGTGGAACAGGACCTGGGGGTTTCATAGTTGGAGGTTTTAGTGGGATGTTTGACTCACACTGACATCAGCTGCTGGATGAGATTTTCCTTTATTTTCAAAACAGGATAAGTTGGTACAAACATGATGAATATGAAAACCTGAGCAGGACTAGAGTTTCCTGAAGACCAGGTTCTGGTCTTTCATTGCACAGGGACTAGTTTGATTTTACAGCTCAGGAGACATAGAGGTGAAGGTTTTCTCAGTCAGTTTCTGAGTTTGTAGCAAACAGAAGCTGAACAGGCGAAAGATGAAAACTGCCAAAGCAAACTTGTGTTCAGTGTTTCCTGTCTGTTCGGGTCACTCTGGTTCTGTTCATCTGGTTTCGACGGTTCTGCAGCTGTTTTTCTTTCAGAAGCTGTTGGATTCGTTTGTTCTGTGTTCGTTCTCTGAAAGGTGGAATCCGGGGCACAAAGTAGTTCTGCTGTTTTCTGGTGGTCTCACTTTCCATTCCTACAATCTGGTACTGGACCTCATCCACAGAGTTCTTCTTCTTTTTTGACACCATGACCAAAGGTAATGATGTCCCCACCTCCGATGTAGTGGGGACAACAATGTCTCCAACATCTGAGGACGTTGTGAGAAACTTTGGGGTGGTAGGTGTTCTGGTCGGTGCTATTGTTTGGCGCTGAGTTACCATGGGTGCTGTAACCAAGTGCTTCATGGGAATTTTCTTTTTGAACAAATATGGTRGAGCAGTTTTCCTCGGTCTCCTTGTTGTGGTGGTTGTGGTGGTGGTACCTGGACTGACTGTAGAAGGAATCAATGGGTCCTCAAACACCACAAACTCTCTGTAATCATTGTAGTCCACATAGACAAAGTCAGTGCTGGTCTTACTGGTGGGGGGTGAAAAAATGGTGGGAGAGGCAGAAACGGTGGGAGGTGCAGCAACAATGGGAGATACAGAAATGGTGGGAGGTGCAGCAACAATGGGAGATACAGAAACGGTGGGGGGTACAGCAACCGTCAGAGTCGCAGCAACTGTGGGAGGTACAGAAATGGTAGGAGGTACAGAAACGATGGGAGGTGCAACAACGTTGGGAGATGTACTAATGAGGTCACTGATGACATCACTGCTGTCCAATAAAGTGGTGAATGCCAATGACATCGTTGACTCAGTGGTTGGTTTCCAGGAACTAAAAGACAAAAAGCAGTTCAGTTCATTTCAGTTCAGTTCAGTTAATAAATCTTAATGCAATAGTTACAGTGGATCAATACATGTTTGAACAGAACTCCATCTGTACCGGTTCCTAACATTTGTTTAAAGGAATGCAGAAGCTGTAGGTCTACACAGCTGTCATTGAGTCTGTCATCACTTCAACCACAGCTGAGTGGGGCAGCTCAGACACCTAAGAGGACATTCACAGACTGCAGCACCTCAGCAGATATATCTGTTATAGATATCTCTATATCAGATATATCTGATATCTATCATGTGTCATGTCGCTGCTGTGTCCTGTGTCCCAGTACTGTCCCACATCCCTGTGCAGTCCCACATCCCTGTTGACATCCCTGTTCTGTCCCACATCCCTGTTCTGTCCCACATCCCTGTTCTGTCCCACATCCCTGTT